GCACTTGACTGAATGCAGCTGTAAATAAACTTGTGCTGAGATTAGAGAAGAGGTTAGCGAAGAGAAAACACAAGATGGGCTTGGTTACATTATCTTAATGAGAAGATATGAATGGCTTCATTGTTGTGGCTGGGTTTTTAAGTATAAAGGTATTTGAATTGAGCATTTTACACTGGCATTTGTGTACTTAATTTGTTGAGCAGCATTTGAAAACCAAGGGGAATTATGGGACAAGAATTCTGACTAACAGTAATCCTACAAGACAGATACCACAAAGGTTTGATGGCATCACCATCAGTAAGGGAGACAAAATAGGTTCAGGACAGGTGGCTTTCATGCTCCACAGATATGCTCAAAGATAAAAGAAGATATTCCGCTTTTAAATGTATTACATTTTAAAAGGCACCAAGAACTAACGAAATATCAGCACCAAAACTTCTCAAGTAATGCCATCTAAGAGTACATTAAGAGTGGAAACATACAATACTAAATAAAGAGTTCTGCTAAAAAGAGCAAAAGGTAAAGTTTGTTCTAAGCTGCTAGATATGCTGATAGATATTGTCAATTCTTTTTATCAGTGCTGCCAATTCCAAGTTGAGAACATTCTATTTTTAGCCTGGTCTGATAGAAAACAAAATTTAAATTGTTCTTGTTTTTATCTTTTTCCCAAAATGAGGCAAGAAGTGAGAGAAGATGAGGTCTGAAAACAAAATACAAGACTTTTGCTGCCTTGCTAGAGGTCTTTGCATGCAGTTCTGGGAAGATATTTTAAATGCATGTGCTTTAAGTGGTGGAAAAAAGAAAACAGCTCCCTGAATTCTCTAAAGGCAAGAAAAATGAACTGCAGGCTGGTCACACAACTTAATCACTGGGAGGATGTTCGAGCAAATGGTTCTGGAAACCCTTTCCAAATACATTCAAAGCAGAAAAGTGACATGCTGATTATTCAGCATGGCACTATGGAAGGGAAACGATGCCTGACCAGCCCAAGAGCTTTCTGTGACCAAGTTACCAGCATGGTGGATGAGGGGAGAGCAGTGGCTGTCATTCATCTTGACTTCAGGCAAGCTTTCCACACTGTATCCCTTAAGACCCTTATAGGTGTTGCATTGCGTCATGGCTTTATGGTTTTTCATTGGTATTCCACATAACATAGAATCATAGAATCATAGAATCACCAAGGTTGAAAAAGACCTAAAAGATCACCCAGTCCAACCGTTCACCTATTCCCAATAGCTCCTACTAAACCATGTCCCTCAACACAACATCCAGCCTTTCCTTGAACACCCCCAGGCTCGGTGACTCCACCACCTCCCTGGGCAGTCCATTCCAGTGCCTGACCACCCTTTCTGAAAAGTAATACTTCCTCATGTCCAGCCTGAATCTCCCCTGCCGTAGCTTGAAACCATTCCCTCTGGTCCTATCACTAATGACACGAGAGAAGAGGCCGACCCCCAGCTCACTACAACCTCCCTTCAGGAAGTTATAGAGAGCAATGAGGTCTCCCCTGAACCTCCTCTTCTCCAGGCTGACCATTCCCAGCTCCTTCAGCCTCTCCTCATAAGCCCTGTGTTCCAGACCCCTCACCAGCTTTGTTGCCCTCCTTTGAACACGTTCCAGGGCCTCAATATCTTTCTTGCAGTGAGGGGCCCAAAACTGGACACAGTACTCGAACATCCTGCAGTACACTAGGAGTTAAGGAGTTAATGCTGCAGTTCCATTAATTCTCGTATTTCCAGTCTCTTGGTCTCAGAAGAGAAGAATGAACCACAACTCCCAGAAGACTTCATTTTTCCATTTCTGTTCTCCATTCAGAGGGAAAGATAAAATGGACTGGAAGACGTGAGACTTTCCTCTTTGCTCCCTCACCGTTTTGCCTACAGCATTAGAGTAAGGACTTCAGTTTCGGAAACTCCTTCATTTTCTTTGATTCATTAGCTTCGATTCCAATCATGTTGTATTATATTATATTATCTCACATTCCACTACTGTATTTAGTAAACTAAGATTCTCCCTTAGCTCGCTGCCACTGATTTCCTTTTCTAGGCCCATCTCTCTCCCTGCCTTTTCCCTTCCTCCTCCCCCCACTTTCTGGGGTGTGGATCTGTGGGTCCCTTCTCCCCCATGTCACAGAACAAGGCCAAACAAGGCTGAACCGTCACAGCAAACCAATGAATTATGGACTAGAAAAATGAGCAGTGAAGTGGAATGAAAGCTGGCTGAACTGTTAAGCCTGGAGTGTTGTGATCAGGACCCAAAGATCACTTGGAGGCCCATCACTAGCAATGTACCCAAGGACCAGTACTGTAACCAATACTGTTTAACACTGCCTTAGTGACCTGGATGCTGGGAGAGAGTGCAGTCTCTGGGGCTGTGCAGACAACACAAGCCTGGAGGGATACCAGATGGCTGTGTGGCTGCTCAGAGGAGAAACAGGGAAATAGGAATCTCAGGAAGTTCAACAAAAGGGAAGTGCAAAGTTCTGCACCATGGAATGAAAGATCCTGTGCACTAGCGTGGGCTCGGACTGGCTGGATAGCAGCTTTGCAGAAACAGTTCAGGTCCTGGTGAACACCGAACATCAGCCAGCAGTGAGCTACTACAGCAGGGACGGCCAACAGCCTCCTGGGCTGCGTTGGGATGAGTGGCACCAGCAGGTCAGGGTGTGACCTTTCCCCACCGCTCAGTGCAGGTGAGGTGACATCTGTAGTGCTGGGTCCAGTCATGGTCTCCCCAGGACATTCTGGAGAAAAGGCAGAGAGGTGGCTAACAGCTTGGAGCATAGGAAAGACTGAAAGAGCTGGGACTGTTCAGTCTGGAGAACAGCTCAGGGGGATCTTATCCACATGCATAGGTACCTGATGGACATGACTAATCAATGCAGAGACAGTGGTACCCAGGAAAGGACAAGGATCAACAGACATGGCATGTAACACAGGAAATTAATTCCACTTAAATACAACTGGAAGAAAAAGCTTTCCTGTGAAATTGGTCTGACATTGGTACGGGTTGCCCAGAAAGGCTGTGGAGTCTCCATCCTTGCAGATATTTTAAACCTGACAGTCATGGGCCTGGACACCCTGCTCTGGGGTGCTGGACCAGAAGATCCCTGCCAGCCTCAGCAGTTCTGTGCTTCTCTTTTGAAACATGAAGTAAAATAAGAGAGATCTTCCCTCCAAAAAGGCATGGGCAGTGACTACAGCAAACATTATCTGTTCTATAAAGCAGAGACATGGAATCTTATGAGTAATAATGTGACTATCCTGGCCTTTTTGCAGAGTGACTGATGATTAAGACATGGTCTGGGCCATTAAATTTAAAACTGTTAATGACCTGGCAGTTCTGAAGTTTCAGGGAGTTCTACTCCAATCAGTGCTTTGCATATCTCCAGTGTTAGACAGTTACTCAATTTTCATTTGCCACTAGAATGACTGAAATTATTGTGAAAGGCATATGTAAATCTGAGAGCAAATTGTACATCTCTTAGTGAAAAAAAACGTAGTTTAGAGTAATCAGTTCCATGTTTTTTCCATATTTTTATGAAACTGCTCCCTACTGGCTACATGACTGGTGCTGTTTTCAGCCGTGCCCTGGGAACACAGGGAAGAGCTGGTGATGGTGGTACCCACAAAAATTGCCCTTAGCAATTCCTGCTCTAAGGAATGTGATCAGAGATGATCAATAGATCAATTTTCATACTTTTCCCTGACTGCCCTTTTGCATTTTGGTACTATTACTGGTTTATATCAAGGATACAAATCAACCAGATATGACAAAACTGAGCTATTTTATATGACTGCTTCCCTTAGCACCCAGACTTCGATGATGGTTGTGTGTCTGTCAGCAGGCTGTATCCAGCACTACACTGCATTCCTCTGGTAAAACCCAGGCTCCTGATGCTTAACACTGACATCTAGCTGATAGTGGCCCACAGCAGGAGTAGTTTCATCTGAAAGGTAATTCTCCCAGGGGATAGCTGCCTGATTTAAAGAGCCTGTCCCAAATCTGGAGAGATAACGCATGGATATCGATAAGGACACTTCTCAGCCTGGCCCAGGGATGGAATGCCATCTGCACACAGTGAGAACCGAGTTTCCAATTAGTGCGTTTAAAACTTGCCACTGCCAATCAGCAGAGGCCAAGAGCTGTGTGCCTCAGTCACCATCATCTTCAGGTTGGATATTAGAAAAAAAAATTCTTCTCTGGATGAGTGGTGATGCAGTGGAGCAGGATGTCCAGGGAGGTGACACAGTCCCTGTCCCTGAAGGTTTTCAAGAAGCATGTTAGATGTAGTGCTCAGAGACATGGTTAGTGAGCGTGGTGGTGATGGTCAGTGGTTAGACTAGATGGTCTCAGTGGTCTTTTCCAACCATAAAGATTCTATGATTCTATGATTCCATGCACCTGTGAGCCAGCAGTCCCTCAGCCTTTGCCCTGCTCACTCACTGTTCCCCATGTCCTGGTACTGACTGCATGTGTGGGTGCACGGGGAGCACAGGAAGGAGTGATGGGTCTGTGTAAAATACCACAGCCTGTGCCAGGTGCCACGATCAGACTCCAGAAACTCAGCTTTCCCGTGGTGAAACCTTTATGACGTTAGCTGAAACACTGCTTTGCTGCTGGTCGGCTTTCAGACATTTCTCACAGCCATGACTGCGAAGAGAGGAACCCAGCTGAGTCCGAAGCAAGGGTTTCTGAGGGACATGAACTACCTCTGCGACCTCCGAGGAGCGACACGCACCTCAGCTTCAGCTCACCGTTAGCAAGCCCCGCTTTCAGTGCTTTCCTCTGTTATTTCACTGAAGGTACTTGAGACACCGGTGATTTTCTCACACCGCATGACAGAGAACGCCACCGTGCCGATCCGTGCCGGGCAGCCCAGCGCCGGTCCGTCACTGTAGCCAGTCCCCGTCCCCGCCTTCGCCGGGAGCGGCTCGGAGCAATTCCCACGGCAACCCAGGCTCGACCCCCTTCCCAGACCCCGCCTCCCCGTCCCGCCCCTCGGCTCCCGGTAGGAAGCAGTCCGTGTGTAAACTCGACGTGTCCTGGAAGGTGCGTGCCTTTCTGTCCCTCGGCCGCCGAGCACGATGCTGGACCCGTCCTCCAGCGAGGAGGAGTCCGATGAGCTTCTGGACGAAGAGCGGCGGGACGCGCTGCTGGCGGCGGGCGGGGGCTCCTCGCCGCGCTCGCTGCCGCCGCCGCCGCGGGACCCGCGGGGCAGAGAGGGCGGCGTGGGGCGGGCGGCGAGCCCCAGCCCCTCGGTGCTGAGCGAGGGCCGGGAGGAGCAGGAACGGCTGCAACGGGAGGAGCGGGAGAAGCGGCTCCGGCTGCAGCTCTACGTCTTCATCGCCAGGTGCATCGCGCACCCCTTCAACGCCAAGCAGCCCACGGACATGGCCCGCCGGCAGCAGAAGGTGAGCCCGGCCCCGCCGCCCGCCCCGCTCCGCCGCTCCGCCCAGCGCCGCGCTCCGGCCCGCAACAGGTGGCAGCGGGCGGCGGTGCGGGGATCCCCGGCCCGGAGCGGGGCGACCGCGGCGGGAAACTCCGGGAAGTTTGCGGAGCGGCGCGGAAGTCCCCGTGGGGGTCGAGGCGCCCGGGGCCGCTGTGCGGCTGCAGCGGTGCCGCTGTCAGGGCACGGCGCGGGCACAGCCACCGCAGCGCCTCCCGCGCGCCCCAGCCCGAGCGCCCCTGAGCCGCTCCGCTGTCAGTGCGGCCGCGGTGTTGCGGCGGTGCTCCCGCTGAGCGGGGAACTGTTGCGTTTCCTGAATCCTTAAGTGCGGTCTGTATGCACAGAGCCGCTGAACGTTCCGGTTTTGATGAGAGCGGCCTTCTAGCGAGGATTCACCAAATGTGCTCTGTCTCTCCTCCGTCAGAGACTGAGAACGAGCGGCGATGGGGCAGGAATCTGTGCTGTAATGATGCCACTTACTGAGCTACTAAATAGGCAGAATATTTAAAGTTTGGAAACAGAGCATTCAGTTTCCAGGGAACCACTTCAAGCACTCAGTTCTTGAATTGTTTGATCTAAAATCTTTGCATTTCTTTTACTTTCTGCTCAGTTCTGTAACAAAGAAAACAGCAATGAAGTGCCTATGTCACATTTCAGAAGGATATTGGCTGGTCGCCGTCAGAACTCAGTTCCCTTTAGCCTTAGTACTTTTATGTCCCTAAAGCTTGCAAAAAGCAATAGGAAATGTTTGAGGATGGCAGTTATCATGCCTGCTGTAGGTGATTTGTGCTTAGAGAATCCTTTGACAAGTTAATGTGGTGGTAATAATAAGATTATTGCTGGAAGAACATTTTGATTTTATTAAGTTGCAGGTATTTAAACTGCAAAAGCTATTTAAAGACTTTTCATAAGCAGAACGCCAAAGAAAATCCCATAAAATTGGGATTCTGCCTTCCCCAGTGGGATTCCCCACCCCATCACAGTTTGAAGGGATGTCTGCAGGTCACCTCCTGCCCCAACCTAGGTTGACACCAGCACCACAGCAGCTAATCTGTGTCTTTGTCCAGCAGAACCTTGAGAGCCTTCAGAGATGCAGCCCCACAGCCTGGATGTGGCTCGCACTGGTACCCATCGCTCTCTTGCTGATGAGTTCTTTCTCCATCAGCCCCCAAGTCACAACCTGTGGCCATCAGCAGCAGGAAATGCTGAACACTGACTTCTCACTGAGCTTGGTCACTAAATATAAGAACTGCTTTTTAAAATTAACTTCGGTATTAATTATTCTTGTTAATAAGATTCATAATAGGAGATTACTGATGTGCAGCCAATACAGAAATATGATGCTTGTGGCTGTAGCATAGAGCAGGTAACAGATTTATTGACAATTGACTTGGTACCTAAATTAAATGGTACTCTTGCTAATTTCTGCTTTTAAAAGTATTCTGACTTTTGGTTTTATTGTATGTAGGGACTTAGCTGCAAGACTGAGATGCTTTGTATTTGCTGGTTACAAAGCAATGTTCTTAAATAAGACATAAAGAAATTCTCTCTAGGAGTTGTAGTTCTCTCTGGAAGTAATGAAGTATACACAAGCATCTTTCCCCTTATCTGACAATCTGATGAAATACCCAGTGAATCACTGAGAACGAGGTGGCAGAACCAGCCCCTGTGTTTGGGAGTTCAGGACACCCCATCCCGGCTGTGGTTGGCTGTGAGTCCCGTGAAGCAGCCCTCCTTGTGCTGCTCTTCGTGCAGCACTGGGGCTCTGTGTCAGCTTCTCAGACAAGCTGTGCCCTGTGGTAAGACACTACATGACATATGCTAGCTGGAGTCATATTCCATAGGGTACAAGTGCCGTGCTTTTTCCCGAATGAATCTTCTCAGAACCAAGGTGCTGCACAGATTGGGACTCCCTTCATCTCCTGCCCTTCTCCTTCACTCCTGCTGCTTGTGACGTGATGGCCATTCTCTATGATGGGCAGAAGTTCCCATCCTGTGTTACAAGCCATTCAGTGCCATGTATCCCATTTGCTAGCAGTGGCTAAGGGATCCAGGTAGATCCTGTTATGCTCCTGCTCCCAGCCCTGCCTGTCTCTGGTTGGGCACTCTTCTGCTTTTGTACCAGCAGTCTCTCTGATAACCTAAGAATAGTATCCTCCCTGCTTGAGAGCAGAAGTAATTTGTTCTTTCTGCCAGTTCATTTGGCATATTGCTGAGCAAATATTGCAGAATGCCGTTTGCTTCTTTTTCAGTGTGGAACATATTATCCAGTAAGGGAATGAGATGGGATTCACATACCAAATATCCTCACTTGCATTGTAATGTCAGCAAGGAAATGGTTTACAATATGTTTGGCTTCTGATACTCTTGCTTCTGTATCAGATTAAAATGTACCACACAGTATCTCAAAACCATCATCATACTTAATGGGCTGAGTTATACTAATCAACATAAAGAGTTCTAAATGCAGGCAGTGTTTCACTCCTCTTGTCCTTTCTCATCCTTCTTTCTTCAGTGTAAGTAAAATTAGCTCAGCTCTATTTTCATACATAAGATTAGTTTAAAAAACAACAACAACAACTTTAAGAGATCTATAACAATTTACCAGAGTCCATCAACTCTACCAGCTTGTTTTTAATGCCAAATCCAATGCAGCTGAGCCCAAATATAGCTGAAACACATTCTTTGATATCTGACTGTATTCCTTCTGTGATCTATAAGGTATGTGATAGGAATACTCTCTTTTAACCATTCAGAGTTAGTTGGTGACCTACTTTTACCTCATGTCTTGTGTTGTCTGTGAATAGATTTGGTGTATCATGGAAAAAAAAGCTCAATGTGGTTTCTCAAGTTAGCATAGCAGACTTGGCAAAGATGGAGTTAATTCAGCAAGGTATTAATCATGCTCCTAATAACATCTCTTCAGTAGATATTTATGGGCATTTGGCCATGCATTGTCAAGGTTTTTAGAGAAATATTAGTGCATCGATGCATTACATATCATGTTTTCAGCAAGTAAGGCTTGCCTGTCTTTGCTTTAAATAGGCTTTGCCACATCTTTGTAGTTTCTACTTCTTTAAAATGAGTCTTCTAGAATATACTTCAGCGTCTTTCTTTTCTACCACTCCAGTCTTCTTTCTGTTTAGTCCAGCAAAGAGAAGCTGTAGTTAAGTAATGCCATTCCTTCTCCTTTTCCACCCCAGCTGAATGGATCTCAAAGCAGTCAGCAGCCTCCAGTTGTCTTCAGAAATTTAATGGGGTTTAAATGACACAGTGAAGTGTGTTGTCTCTGCAGCTATCTTCAATCAAGGTAAAACTGTGTATGTGAACATAGCACAGAGCCATTGTAGTTTCCACAGAAATAAAGAGGAGGCATTACTTTTGGAGGGACATAGGTATGTACTCAGTTTTATTTAGGGGTTAAAGGCAAGTTCTGCAAGTTACATTTCCTGGAGAAGGAAGTGGTAATGAACTGCTACAATTAACTAACAATAACAAAAAAGTATTCATCCAGTGTGCTTCTTCCTCAAGGTCTTAAAATATACTCCAGTAATCAAGCAGTCACAGCATAGAAATCCAAGAGTGGGAGGGGAATAAAGCTCCTACTCTAAATGAGATTTCCTAATGCATGAAAGGCTTAGTACATCAAAGCTGATCATTCAAGTCTTGCTTTCATAGGTGATAAGTAGCAGAAGTGATTGAGCTGGCTGTTTAGAAATCATAACTCAATGAGGTTTACTTTCTGAATACATGTTGAGCTGTTTTCGCTCCATTTCTTCTCTCCACCTTCTCACCTGTGAGTATGTCATAGAACTGTAGAATCATTTGAGTTGGAAGAGACCCTGAAAGGATCTAGTCCAACTCCTCTGCAATGGACAGGGACATCTACAGCTCCATCAGGTTGCTCAGGGCCCCATCCAGCCTCACTTTGAATGTCTCCAAGGATGGGGCATCCACTACATCTCTGGGCAACCTTTTACAGCATTCAAAACAGTCAACTTCTTGTTAATACTCTAAAGTAGAGTAGTGATATTTAACCAATTACTTTCATCTGGACTTTGAGTTTGTTCTTTCCTGTTTCTTGGGCTCTACCTCTAACTAAGTGGTTACTGATATGTATTCGCTAAATAATTAGCAGGAAAATCACAGAATCATTTAAGCTGGAAGGTGACTCTGCATGTGGCAGGGGGGTTGGAGATTCATGATCGTTGAGGTCCCTTCCAACCCTGGCCATTCTGTGATTCTGTGACCCATAAGGATCATCAAGTCCCAGTCCACGCTCCACAAAAGAATCAGACTATAAGTCTGAGAGTGTTGCCCAAATTCTCAAACTGCAGCAGTTTGACATTGCATCCACTGCCCTGGGCAGCCCGTTCCAGTGCCTGACCACTCTCTGGCGAAGAACTTTTCCTAACCCCCAGCTGCCCTCTCCTGGCACAGCTCCATGCCGTTCCCTCAGGCCGGGTCGCTGTCACACAGAGCAGAGCTCAGCGCTGCCCTCCGCTCCCTGTGAGGAGCTGCAGCCGCCATCAGGCCTCCCCTCAGCTCCTCTGCTCTGCGCTGAGCAAACACAGGAACCTCGGCTGCTCTTATATGTCTTTCCTTCTAGGCCACTTGCTGTCTTTGTAGTCTTCGTTTGGACATTCTCTAATAGCTTTTTGTCTTTTTTTGTACTATGTGACCCAAAACTGTGCACAGTATTCAAGGTGAGGCTGCACCAGTACACCTCAGAGTGGGAAATGGTTGGTTACAGGAGCAGACTTAATTCTTGGACAATTCTGTTCTCAGTGCCTTTATTTCTCCTGTCCCAGGCCTCTCTTGTTCTTGGGTTTAAGCTGGTGATGTGTACTTACTTGCTGATTGGCTGAGCATGTTCTGGGGAGAAAAAGTTGTCTCATGGCTTCTGAGCCTCTTTCATAAGATGCTTTTTTTTTTTCTTCTTCTTTTTTTCTTCCCAGTGCTAAG